GAGAAATTATTGAAAAGAGCCTTGATTGGCTCGCCGCTCGGAGTCTTGTGAACTGGACAGCTAATTATTTTCGGGAAATATCATTTTCGAGAAATTATTGAAAAGAGCCTTGATTAGCTCGCCGCTCCGAGCCTTGTGGACTGGACAGCAAATCATTTTCGGGAAATGTCGTTTTCGAGAAGTCGTTGAAAAGAGCCCTGATTGGCTCCTTGCTCTCTGCCAAATGAAAGCTAACTTTCCCTCTTTGGCGGCTTCGCCGCTCTTCTGATTGCGCGGAGGTGAGCTGATCCGATGAGAACGGTAAGAGGATTGAACATTCCTGCGTGACACGGAGGGATCAATTCCGACCGAGATTACTGTGAAATTTTCGCAAAGGAAAAGATCTTAAAATAGCCTGTGGTTAAGGACCAAGAGTGACCTTGCTGAAAGGGACAACCCTGCTGGTCGCTGAGGACCTTGGAAGCGGGCGCGGCGAAGTGACAGGCGCCGTAGTCCATGGCTTCAGCGAACGGTAGGTAGCTCTTCCCCGGGTTTCCTCACAACGTCATGAAGGACGTCGGGCCAGTGAAAACGTTGGCGGAGGCATGCTAATGTGCGGTTCACGCCAAGGTGTGCCGAAAGTCGTGCGTCGTGGAATTCGCTGAGAAGACGAGTCCGTAATATGCGATCTTGGGGCACAACTAACAAGTACTTTCCTCTCGTGTGAAGGAGAAGGAACCCCTCGGAAATCCGATAGTGGCTAGCCGGCGGGTGATCGGATGAAAGCTCCGCGTAAAGCGTAGAGTAAGTCGGATCGGACTTGTAGCCTTTGACAAAATGCGGCTGCAGATCGTCCTCGAGGTTGAATGTCGTGGTCACAATGACACAAAAATCGGACCGTCGTGAGAGGGCGTCCACAGCTCGATTGGCGGGACCGGGAATGTGGCACGGGTCAAAGTCGAACTTGTCGATGTAATACATCCATCGACCGATCGTGCTAGTGACCGTATCCTGCATTTTGTAAAAGGTCAACGGATTGTTGTTCGTATTCCATTTAAAACGCCGACGGCCGAGAAGAAAGTGGCCCCACCGTTTGAGAACGGTGACGAACGAGAGTAGCTCTTTCTTCCTAGCGTCGTCGAGAGTGTTGACGAGAGGCACCTTTTGGGAAAAATACTCGACCGGATGCCAACCGTCCTCGTGACACTGTTCCAACATCGCACCAATACCGTATCCCGAAGCGTCCGTCGTCACTTGGGTGGGCAGGGTGGGATCGTATATACGAAGGGCAGGTGCGGCTTGCATCGCTGCCTTCAACGTAGTGAACGCGCCACGGGCTGCGTCGTCGAACTCGAAGGGCACCTTCGGGGACTGAAGTATCGACAAAAGAGCGGCCACTTTCGAGTATGAATCGACGAATCGTTGATAATATCCAGCCAAACCCATGAAGGAGCGTACATCCGTCGTGCAACGGGGCTCCGGCCAATCCACGATGGCTTGGATCTTGTCCACTAAGGGACGAATGCCTTTCGGCATAACATAATGGCCCAAATACTCAAGCTCCTGCTTCGCCAACTCGCACTTGTCGCGATTTGCTTTGTACTTGGCCAATCGCAAACGATTCAAAACAGCGCGAAGGTGTACGATGTGCTCGTTCAACGTCCTACTATAGACCAAGATGTCATCGAGGTAGATGAGGACGCTGCGATCGAGCACGTCGCGAAACTCAGTCGTCATAGCTGCTTGAAAAGTCGCGGGGGCATTGGTGAGGCCAAATGGCATGACAACCCACTCAAAATGCCCGTACCGCGTCTTGAACGCGGTCTTGTACCGATCTTGAGGCTGGATATCAATCTGGTGGTAACCCAACTTCAAGTCCAACTTCGAGAAGTACGTCGCGCCGCCTAACCGCTCAAGAAGATCATCAATCCGAGGGAGAGGGCTGGCGTTCTTTACGGTTTGTGCGTTAAGTTTGCGATAATCGATGCATAACCGTAGATCTTTGTTCTTCTTCCGGACGAAGAGAACAGGGGCACCGTATGACGAGCAACTAGGGCGAATCCAACACTTGTCAAGAAGGTCATCGAGTTGTGCGCGAAGCACCTCGAGTTCCTCTTCGCTCATGCGGTAGATACATCCACGCGGAGGGACGGCACCAGCCTCGAGAGTGATCCCGTGACGTAAGGGCCGATCCGGAACCGTTCCGGTGGGAGCCTCGAAGACGTCTCCATACTCGTCCAAGAGGTGAGTGATGCGTGGGTCCGGCGGTGACGCGGCTGGTCCGTCCGGCGAGGGGAGAGCATGCAAGAATACAAGGCCCATCTCCTCGACGTCATTCCGAGCTATGGCGTCGCGAATTCTCACAATGGAAACCACGTGACAAGCAATCGAAGTGTGAGGGGTCACGACCGTACATGGGACTAACACTCCGTTCCGATCACGGATGTGAACGGTTCGGTCATGAAAGTTTACCGGATGATCGGCGCTACGCAACCAAGACATGCCTAGAATCATGTCGAACTTGGTGTCGAGAATGTCAAAAGACACCGGCTTGCACGCAAGTGGCGCAAAGTATACTGGAACGCCATCGACGCATCGGTCAATTGACTTTTGCGTGCGGCCGTCCGCGAGTGTAACTTGCGTAGGTTATGTCTTCCTTCGAATGCGCGAGCTAAGACCTGCGCGGGCCATAAAGACTTGGCTCATAAAGTTGCGAGAGGCTCCGCAATCAATCAAGGCACTACAAGTTGCCTTTCCGATTTGAATGCGGATATAGAGCAAAGGCGCGTCGGTTTCGGCGTACCTTTGGGTGGCGTACTCGCGGTCAATCTTCGTGAGATAGAAGCGGAGATCGACAACCGCTACCCCGTCGTCCGTCAAAGGAGCTGGTACTATAGTGTGCAAATAGGAGCGTAGATTTGCCATCAAGGCRTTGCAATGCGGCCTTGGCAAGGTTCCGGTCGAGGGTAGAGGCATCCAAGCGAAGTCCTCTCTCGTGAGCAGGTCAAGTTCCTCAAGTCTTGACCACGCCGTCGATCCTCGGAAGTCAGTGGCGAGCTGACCGGATCACTTGCCGACGGTGTACAGGCTGCGCATACGCAATCTAAGTGCACGTGGCTCGGCTGGTCTAGTGGTGGTACCAGCTGGGCGGCATAATCCTCGTAYGTAGCACGAGAATCAGCGACTAACGCATGCTCCCCGGTAGTGACATCGATTGCTAGCAAGGCAACCGGGTCCGGCGGAGTGAGGAGAGACGTCGCCCCTCTCCTTGCGTAACTCAGTTTTCCGAGTTAGCTGGACGGGGTACGCGTGCCTTGCCCTTTTCGGGGCACTGTGCGGTCAAATGAGTGACTCCATTGCACCAAAAGCAATATCCGTACCGTTGACGAAGGTCATAGATTTCCTTGGTGATCTTATATGCCGTCCATGGCTGCTGCCCAGTTCCCGTCGATGCCGTCTCTTGCGTCGCCTTGTTCTTTCGAACTCTCTTGGGACGCTTCGGCGGGAGCGCTGCTACAATTCCTCCATCACTCGAGGATGTTGCTGCAGCGTGGAGATCGACTGTTTCGTCAGAAATCACGACATTATTATGTGCCGGTCGTTGATAGCCCGGCTTAGCCACATAATGCGGCTGGGACTGCCGTTCGTTTGCGGCCTTGTCATCCGTTTGGATGCGTTTGGATGACAAAGTTCGCACGATCCAGGATGGCCTGGAATGAGGCGTAATCGTACTCGTTGCCGAGTGCGGTTCGCAACCCTGCGCACGATCGCGAGAAGAACTCGGATCGTTGGTTCGTAAAACTCAAATCGAAACTGGCGTGGTCACTATCTTTTGCCACTTGGTTGTCCAGTCTCGAGTTGGCATATTCCCTTGAGAGCAGGTGTACACCTCGTTCATGGCCGCCTTCACGACGTTGCGGACCATGAACCGAGTGAACCATAGCTTCTCGAACTCCTTCCACGGGACGTGCGTGTGGAGTTCGGCGATGGTGCATTTCTTGGTAGCCGCCAGATGGTTCATCCAGGCATGCGCTCCTCCAATCAGTTGTAAGTAGAGCGCCTTCATCATGTCGTCAGCCGGGACAGTGCGGCAAGATGCTTCCGTGAGGAAACGTTGCCACCATGTCAAGGCGTCCGACTTGTTGTCATCGTCGAACTTGCTGATGTGGAAGTGCGGCATCTTGTAATTCTTTGTAGCAGCGTCCAGTCTTGTCTGCAGGTTGGTGATGCTCGTCTTGATGGCGGCCACCGTGCTGCTGATCGTGGCCGGACTAGTGAAATCACCTAGTTCGTCAATGATAGTGACGACGTGATCGATGCGCTCGTTGAGCCGCTTCGTCGCGTCCGTCGTGCAGCCTGGCGCTGCTGAGGTCTTAGCCTCGATGTCGTTGATGCGTGCGAGAGTAGAGTTCAACAGCTGTTGCTGTTGCTGTTGCTGCTGCTGCGTTGTTGCGTCGCGGACGGCGGCCGTCAAAGCAGCCACCTCTTGCTGATGCTTCTGTCGTTGCTGTCGTTCTGCGAGCAGGTGTGCCTGCAGCAGTTTGTTGTTCCACATTACTCCCCTCATCACGCTCAACATCAGGGTAGCCAGGTTACTTCTCTCTCCCTCCGCCTGTGTCGGAGCCGCCTACGCTTCCGTAGGCACAAAGAACATGCCTTCGAGTAGTGTTGTCCACTAATTCTCATGTTGAATCAGGGACTCTGTGTTGGTGGCATTCCGTCTATCTCGTGCCGCTGCGTCAGCCTCAGCAGTTTGCTGAGCTTGGGCTGCCGCCTCATTGGCCAGCCGCTGACGTTCTGCCTCTGCTGCCTCCTACTGAACCTTTGCGGCAGCTACGGCATCTGTGAATACCTGTAGCCGCCCAAGGTAGTCAGCCAACGGTTCATGGGCCCCTTGGACCGGACATGCAGGAAGAACTCCGGTGAGAACCGGTACTGTCAATGATGTACTTGATGCCGCTGGAGTCGTCCGCTTGCTGAGCCGCTGTTGCTGATACTTGCTTCTTGGAGGTACCACAAGACGGTTACGAAGTGCAAGCCTGGCACTGCGTCGTGGCAGTGCCCCGGTGTCTTGTTCCACCGACATCAGCTCTGGCTGATTTGGTACCTCAGACATCCCGGTGGTCACAGATTACGGGGAGGGTAGGGAGAGTGGGAACAGGGGTAGAACAATCAACACTTCACATTCAGTCTCTGTCCCACTGATGGACTGTAGACAACAAATCAAACAGAAAAAATATATTTTCCGTAAACAATTCAAAAATTCATAATAAGGAAATAATAACGAATTATTTAATCAATAAAGTTTAATTAATGATTAATAACGAAATAATATTTCTCAAATAAAACAATATTTGCAATAATGATCAATAAAACAATATTTGCAATAATGATAATGAACGAATTTGAATTGTATTAAGATTAGGTATCCTTTGAGATCATCTTAAGTCCGGGAGTTCATCGTTAATTAGTGAACTACCCGGAAGTTGCAATTCTGAGGGTCAGATACGGATTAGTTTGCCAAAAAAAAAATTCGGAAGAAAATCATAAGAAAAACACTCGAATTTTCAAAAAATGTGAAATTCCGGGAATTTCCACCGTCAAAATCCGATTTTTAAAGGCCTAAGTCCGTTTTCGGAATTTCTCAAACAAGGGAGAGAAGAAAAAAAAAATTCGCGAAAATTTCGGAGTCCAACCCTAATATTCCGCGCTTTCGCGGAATTTCCGATTTAACGGTTCCAAAACGTTCGAATTTCCCAAGTTGATTGAAAATCAAAAATTTTCGTAACCCTAATTTCCCACACTGCAATAAAACGGAAATGCCGATTTAGAAAACGGAATACATGATTAAAATCAGAATGCTGAATTATAAAAACAGAAACTGAATTGAAAATCAGAATGCCGAATTAAACAGAGTACTGATTTCAACCTAATCACGAATCACTAATCATAAATCCGAATTAAATAGCATGTCGGATTAGTTTCAATTTATCGGAACTCAAATTAACAGCATACCGGAGTTGAACAGAAATCCGAATTATAAGTCCGAATACCGAATTGAAACGGAAATGCCGAAATAAACAGAATACCGAAAAGAGAAAAATTTTTGCAACTTTGAACTCGATAGTAATACAGAGCTGATTTGGAAGATTGAAGAAGCAATCTAATTCCTAATCAGACTTACCTGGTGAGCAGATCCGTAAAATGGTCTGCTCCGATACCAAATCTGTTACATACTCGTGAAAGTGTCAATGAGTATGGGGCAGAACCAAAGATCAACCAATATAGGGATGAGCATGTATGCAGCGGAAGTCTCATAACGGACTGACTCACATAGACTGACTCACACAGATATCACTCCACACACATACAATCGTGAGATGGTGGGGTCTGAGCCATACATGGAAGTTGCTCAGGCCCCGTACACACATACACAGATGAAAGGTGGGAGGAGAGACGAAGGAGGTGGGGGAAGTAGACAGCACCGAAGGTCACCGAAATAGAATCCGATAGGTCACCGATATGGTAGTCCAAAATGTCATCAAACAAGATCAAAATGTCGAGGACAATAAGTCACCAGTGTCGGAGATACAGAGTCCAAATGTAACCGGTGTCCGAACTGTGATGCCGCCGAGTATCAACCCCAACAATCTCCAAGTCTCGAATCCGGTAAGTACCACAGCCTCATACCACCAAAGTCCAACACTTGTCTCTGTCCAACTAGTATGAAGTCTCCAATCCGAAGAAGAAGAAGAAGAAGTCAGAAGAAGAAGAAGAAGAGGTCTGAAGAAGAAGAAGAAGAAGTCTGAAGAAGAAGAAGAAGAAGAAAAAGAGTCAAAGAAGAAAGAGAGAGAGAGGAGACTGGCGATGGGAGGGAGGAGAGAACCTCCGGCTCCCGATACCTCAGGCGGCTATGGTCGCCGCCGATCTTGCTCAGTCGCCGCTGCTGCTGCTCTGCTCGCTGCCACTGCTGCTCCTCGTGCTCCTGCGCTAAGTATAGCGCTAGCGCTCTGGCGCTAACCATAACGCACCGCGTAGAATGCCGGTGGTTCGATACCGAACTGAGGCTGGACCGGTACTTTTGTACCGGTGGGGCAGAGGCCGGCCTCTATGCTGCGAGGCCTGGCCATGCCCTGAACCGTCAAGATGGACGGTTCAGCCCCAACCGGCGGGCGACAGCCTCAAGAGCGCCGCCTGGCCCAAACGGTAATGTCGTTTGGGCCTGTCCGTCGGGTCTGGTCCAAGATAAGGCCTTTACGGCCTGAAGTAGCCCAAGATCGTGCCTTTCGGCCCTACTGTGTCCCTCTGGCCCTAAGTCGGGTCCGGTAGGACCCGTGTGGCGTCGAAGATGTAACAGTAGGAGTGTGTGGGATATTCAGGGAGGTCCAGAGTGAGTGTGGTGAACACAGTGTCGGACAGGTGATGTGTAGGAGCTCAGGCGCCATAGCCAATTGAAGCGAGTTTGTATCTGAACTGTGTTCTCGGCCTTAATTTATCTGAGCTTTGAGTGGGCGCCTGGCACCAGTGTGGATTGCCACTTGTCTGCATGCATGCTGAACGGAGAAGAAAACAAGTTTGATTGCATTGGTTTTTGAGCAGGTTCCGGTTGTTCCACGCGCCATCGCCGTCGTTAACAGGAAGGAGGCGTAGCAGCAGCCGCCTTGTTGAGGAAGAAGGGTCCGCCATAGCTGCGCCGTTGGAGAAAGGTGCCGAGTACCGGCAAAGACAACGACGAAGAGAGAGAGAGAGAGAGAGAGAGAGAGAGAGAGAGAGTGAGAGCTGTCTCTTATACACATCTAGATGTGTATAAGAGACAGGAGAGAGAGAGAGAGAGAGAGAGAGAGAGAGAGAGAGAGAGAGAGAGAGAGAGAGAGAGAGAGAGAGAGAGAGAGGAGCGATACAAGATTGGTTGTGCGGTCCAAGGAAGGAGGTGGCGGCCATAGCCGCCGAGCTCGGACACGGAGAGGACAAAGAAGAAAGAAGACTGAGTAAAGGAGGAGGGAGAGACGAAGAGAAAAGAGAAGCCATAGCCGAAGAAGAGAACGGAGGGACGAAGAGGAGGGAGAAGCCATAGCCGGGGGTGAAGGAAGAAAGAAGTAAGAAAAAAGGAAGAAAGAAGGAAGAAAGAAGGAAGGAGGGAGGAGGAAATCGAAGGTTGGTGGAGAGAAGGGGTTGGCAGCCAAGCCGGGTTGGGCGTTGACCAAGGCGTTGACTGAGGAGTTGACCAGGGTTGACCGAGGTGTTGACTGACGTGTTGACCGACATTGACCAAGGTGTTGACCGGGGAGTTGACCAGCGTTGACCGAAGTTGTTGACCACGAAATTGACCAAGCTGGAGTTGCTATACTCTCGCCAAGCCGTCATTCTATCCCCTCGCCCTATGGATGTGCACTCACCCCATGGTATTTGCCGAGTCTATCTGTCTCTTCTTTCTGCATTGAGTCTGTTATGTCCAGGTGATAGGAACTCCGTGTATGAGGTCGTTGAGCTGTGTTGACCACGGGCTGAGTAGGGCTTAAGTCCATGTCTGACGGTTGACTGTCCCGGAGGACAAACCCTCCCAAGGAACGGTACAGACCAGCAGGCTGCTCAGTATGGCATGGTTGGCCCAAAATCCGAGCTGTGGGCTGCACAACCAGCTGTCTAAGTCTTGAGAGGACTTGCTGATCACGTCGTCCTGTTTGCGACGTTAAAGAGTGGTGAGGAGTGGAACTGTCACTCAGCTGTGCGTCTTTCACCATGGTGGACACGGGTAGCGGTGTCAGTGCGAATACCCTTACAATGGTATCCCCCCTGTTTTTTTTGCAAGCGAAAAAAAAAAAAAAAAGTTTGGTTTAAAGTTGAAGTATACCGCGCGAAGGCGTGGCGGTGCCTGACGGTTACATTGACTGGATGGCTGACTAGAGTAGCGAGTGTGTGGGCGCGCACGCGGACTTGAGGCGCGCATGATTTTATTTATTGATGATTGAAGAACCGGTGTAATCGCCGGCCAGACCTTCTCTGATTAAACTAGGACCAAAAAGATTTTGTCTCCTGATTGGTGCGCGTGCCTATGACTTGTGCGTACGTGCGGAAGACGGCATCGACAACAATGTGATTTTGAAAACAGTTTGGTAGGTTTGCGCGTCGCGCAGTATCGGTTTATTTAGGTGTCCGTCAAAGTTAGACCCAGCAGTAGATGCAGTATCGGATTTAGGGGCCGTCACGGCAGTTGAGGACCTTGCGCGCGTCCCCCTTCTAGTTGACTTACTAGTTCCTACAGGTTTGGGGTGCCAGTGAAATTTCCTTATCCTGTTTGACTTAAAACACCGGTCGGCGAGTTCAACGTGCATGCGAGCCGATGGGCGGTTAGCCCACAAAGTGGATGAAAACTGGCTGGTACGGCCCTATGCGGGCGTACCGCCCACCATCCGCGAGTTGCTACGGGAGGTTTGAGTTTGAGCATGCCCACTGGGACCCCAAAGGTTTGACTGTGCCTGAGCAGGGCGGCCCAAGGCACCGTGAGGGAGTCCGAGGTGGTATTGTCTGCGCAGGAGGTGCACGTGGGACCCTCCTCCGCGACGGTCTTCTAAGTTTCATGTGAATATTTGCCTCTACCATAAAGATCTGCACCCGGCCGCTTCATACAGCAGACCCGCACCCTCGGTTCCACGGCCTGCTATGAGAAGCTTGAGCGGCGTTTGTCCGCTGACAGGCTGAAGGGGTGGTGGGGCCTGCTTGAAGGAGGCGGGCCAGGGGAAACCCGGAGCAGAGCGGTGGGTGCTGCCTATGCAGAACGAGGCTAGAGGGAGCGACTGAAGGATTCCAGGGGCACTTAGTGGGTAACGCGCTCCCGGAGAGGTATAGGGGCGGTAGGCAAAGTGAAATCGGTCATTGACCGATTTTTCTTTCGAAATTCTCCTTTCTGTAGCGGGCGGGCAGACGAACGCTTGGGACACAGAGGAGCGTTGGGCTAGTACCACGGACGACGACTAGCGGACAAGGAAGACGGAGGGGGTAGCGAAAGAGGAAAGGACCGGGACGCGATTTCGCGTCAGGTACAGACGAAATAGAGTAAAAGATGGCGAGTAGAGCAACAAAGGTAGGGAAGGTTGTTGCGCGGTCGTCCCTTCACGAGACAGGGTGAGGGAGGCGTCATCACCTGGGTTTTTGCCCCGGGCGAGGCGAATGGCGAAGTTAGTTTTAGTATCGGGTTAGTAAAATAGGTAGTAGAAGAGAAGATGGGTGCGCCAAGCTATGGCCGAAGGAGCAATGGCAGAGTGTAGGATGGACGGTCTGTTCGAATCATGGGGGAACTGGGCGAGAGGCGATCCTAACTCAGGGTTTTTTTGCCGGGGCAAAGCTAGTCGTGGCGTCGGAAATGAGAGAGACGGCTTGGTCTTGGCGCTACGGGAGTTGGGAGCTGCGCGATGAAGAGGTGAGCGGGCGGGCGGCTGCACCTTTCCGATTGTTGGCATAAGATCCATTTCGTTTTTAATCATGCTGACGATGGAAGAAGCAAGGAGGATTGGGCCGTGGGGGTAGAATACTTACCTGCTGGCCGGCGCGTTGCTCCTAACGATGGAAGTAGTACCCCTCTATCTCCCTGCGTGCATGCATCCGGTCTTTTTCTAGCGGAAAATTTGTTCGATTTGGCTCCTCCTTTCGATGAAAATGGTGGGAAGTTGGCCGCGGGATAGGAGAGCTTACCTGGGGTACCACGAGTGAGAAGAGTAGGGAAAACTTACTTAGAGAGTGGGGGGACCAAGAACGCCGGATTTTGCCATGTTTTGAGCGGTGGATACATTCGATTTTGCTCATTCTGTCATTAGAAGTAGAGTGGGGCTAACAACGGGGTTGGAGATCGACCTGTTGGCCGGTGTGACACTTGGATAGTCGCGAGGTCGAAGACTTACCTATTGACGGGTCCTGGCATGCTGCACATCAGGATGGATCATGTTGCGTTGATCCGTTGAGCTGGGATGGGGACACGCCTGTGGACGACGGGTTGTCATCTCACCAATTGAAGCAGCCACTCGGAGAGCTGCCTTGCTACGAACTTGAAGGCTGGCCGGCATGCCCCGCAGCCTTGGAGACTTATCTGCTGGCCGAAGAGCTGACCACCGTATCAAATAGCGTAATTGCAGGCTAACTGCAGCGTTGCAGGTTTAGCTGTTAGTTGGCACGCTGCCCATTCCATCAGTCAAAAGGGCGAAGGGACCAGCCGTGGGGCGAGGGCCATTTGTTGGCTAGTGGGCTGCCCATCCAGCCAATTGAAGTGGTATGAGCCCGGCGTAAGTAGGGTGCTTGCCGAGGATTGGTGAGGACTACATAGGCCGTATCCACGCAGACTCCGCCCGTTACATGGCTAGCTAGGCTCCGCTGTTGCTCCACTATGGAAAGGGAGAAGACTGTACTTTGACCCACAAGCCGTGTGTTGACGTTGTGGCCAATCTACTTCGAGTCACGAGTGGCGGAGAGATTGAGTTCGTTGAAGGGGTTCAATGCTGCGACTTGGGGGTTCGTCACGAAGGGCTGCTTCAACGGTTTGACTTCAATTGACCAGGCGATTGCGCAATTTGGCCACGATTGCGGGGCCCTCAGGCGCATCAAGGCAACAATGCCCTCTCCTGAGAGTTGAGTTGTCCCTCTCCTGTATCTTGAGAGTTTGGAACCCCTTATATTTTGTCCTTCTTACTCTAAGTCTAGTCTTGTTCTGAGAGGAAGGCGGCAAACGGGATTGCAACCCGTAGGACCGCAGCAAGACTATGTGGGAAGTCAGCCCACCGATTGCGGGAGCTCTGCCGGAACTCGGGAGGAGTTCTGGAGGCAGGGAACTGAGAGGTAACCTTTCATCTCCTTCTATAAACCCAGTTATAACCCCTAACTGTAATTTTTGTTATGGTTGACTGAGTATACTGCGTGCATCCCTACTTTGACTTTGAGTTTGACCTTCGGAACAGGATTCAGACTTAAGTAAAGGAATGCATGTGTAATGTCAGTTTCAATTTTTGTTGTCTGACTGAAAGCA